CTTATAACATTTATATGAAGTAGGATATATTTTCTTTTAAATAAGAAGAAACCTGAAATTTAGAAAAGTTTGTTAACCACATCGCTAATAATGAAGATCCATAATTTGAATGAAAATCTTTGAGGATACAAAGGCCATGTTTGTTTTTTCCATTATACCATGTTGTCTCACTATGAACAAATAAATGCTAACCTGAGTGATGCAAATTAAAAAACAACAATACAATGTTATATGAAAACCTCTTAGACTGATCTTGGAGGTTCAAATAAAATTTAAAATCAGAGAAAGACAAGTCAGATTAGTTATAGAGTACAAAGAATCAGAAACTCAGACTAAAAGTAAAAATTATCACCTCCAGTAGGCCTCTAATGAAATTTCTCCATTTTCCAGTCTACTTCCTAGAAACCTTGTTGGACTGAAGGAAAAAGTTGGAAAATAATAGTCATTTTAAGCAAAAAGTATTTCATTTTAAGTGTTCGTTCAGACCAGTAAATGTGGGGAAAGAGGAGGGTCAGGAAGAGAAGGAAAGAGTACAAAACTAAAAAAGCTCAGCTACAGGCCACAAGATTGGAAAAAGTGGTAGTAGAAATCCAATGAATGGGGACACCTCCTAAATGATCCCAGAATTTAGCTGGCATTTCATCCACAAGGGAGAGTATGGAGGAGTTGGAGTGGGGGAGGGAGTAAAGACTATCCTATGGACCATCCCTGTATTTTTCCCTGGTTCAATCTTCACCCCCATTATTACAACAGATTATAATTTACTAGAGGCCCGGTGCAATTCATGCACAGGTCGGGTAGGGGGAAGAGGGGCCATAGGTGGTTGGCTGGCCGACCTCGCCCCCTGGCCGAACTCCTGGTGGAAGGGACAATTTGCATATTAGCCTTTTATTATATAGGATTACTTTAAAATAAATGTTGTCAGTGAAATTAAAAGCTGGATTTGCAGGGAAATTTACTCATGGGGAAAATTAGATTTAAAAAGCACATGCACAAATTCTAACCCAGGTTCCCAAAAATTGAAGGCTGAAAATAAAGAATTCGATACCATCACACTTCAGTCCTATGTTGTTTAGTTTCTTCTTTTTTTTTACATTTCCATATTTTATTTTTAATAAAGTAAAAAAAAATCTTTTGCTCTAATTTAAATATCCCTTAAATTATTTATCTTATCGGGCACTGGGAACAATAGGTTTGTTGTTTTTTTATTTACTCTTATTAAAGATCAAAAACTACCTCGTTAGGCCTGAGGTCAGGTCACTCTGCTCTTGAAGTCAGTCTCCTTTTCTAAAAAAACATTTTCACTGCCATTTTTGAAGTATTCTCCTCCCAAACTGGTTTTAAACAGTAACCCAACTCTTCTCAATCTTGCTGACTTCAAAGTAAACACAGGCTCATTCAATGCTGTTATTATAAATTAAAAGAGGACTATGAAAATAATACACAGTAGAAAGTCTAAGTGAATAAATCTTGATATCCAGCTTTGTTTCTGATTCTCTTGCTAAAGGAAGTAATGAAAGTATAAAGATGGTAGGTAGCTTTCATCCCAACTCCCGACTTCTAAGTAGGTCAGCAGATCTAAACCAAGGTATAATCTCAAGACCTGTCAAACTCATCTATTGTTTCCACTCATCAGGAATTCCTGCTGAGAGGCACCACTTTATTGGCTCCTTGACCCAAGAAGTTCCCGTTGGGCTTATCCTCACACCTTTTTTTTAGCTTTTTAAAAAAGTGTCACTATTCAACCTTATTACAGAAGAAATTTGAGGAACTTTAGAATGACACAAGGAAAAACATGAGATAAAAATCAGAATCTAGAAGACTGAAGAATAACAAATCAGAATATAGACATGCAGGCAATGGAGCCCTACATAATTGTTAAAAGCAAGCTTCCTTTTAATGAGATTTCTCACAACTAAAATAAACATCGAAGACAATTAATGATTTGTATTGTCCATAAGAAAAAGGCAAATTGATTTATCAGAAGTAAGTATTTTCCTGAAACAGGTTTGAATACAATTTCCCATTTGGATTGAGTGATGTAATGTTCCCTCAATAATCTTCACAAAAAGGCAATAGCAAACCTCATTCAGCTGTTCATTGATTTTTAAAAGTATGGGAAAGTGATAATCTCACATTATATGGCTTAAAGTTTTAAACTTTTGGAAATTTGAGCTGGAATAATGAAATGGTGCTGGCTAAAACTACTTGTTGACACCTAATATCAGCTGCAACTATGAGATGAGATCTAGTGTGGGCTTGCAGTGAAGATGAATTTTCTAGAAGCAAAGGCGTGACAAATACACCCAGCTCAGTGCTACTTCTGTATCTTACATATAGTTATTGTTGCAGTGATGGCATTGTAATAATTCACAGATCTCTCCTGTAAGAGTTCCCTATCTTTGTCCTCTTGGTAACCAATTCCTAGCCAGTGCCTTGTACACAAAACATACCCAATAAATGTTCAGAGTTGAATAATACTGATGTAAAGAAATCCTAGATTAGGAAATACTGAAAGTATTACAATGGAAGAACAGTTACTATAATCTACAACTCCTACTAACGTTGGAGCAGGGATCACACCACCAGAGAAGATTCAGAACATGGAACGTCCATGGCACTGAAAGCTTTCAAAGCTATCTTTGATTTTTTCCATAGAAGTACCTGCATTGTCACAGCATTTCGTATGCTCCAGGATTGGCCTATTCCATAAAGGCAGGAATATCTGCACTGGCTAAGTAGAATGCCATATTACAAACATAATGCTTAAATTACCTGGGTTAGTGGGGATGTGAGTTCAGGGAAGTATTCATATAATTCAAGGTAAAACTTCTCTATGGCAGCTTTTTAAAATTAACTGGCTTTGAAGAAAACTGTTCTAAAGTTATCACATACTGCTGCCCTAGTAAAAAGTCTACTAAACACCACTGAAACTTTAATGACTGAGTCATTATGATGATTTATCACAGAATGTTTTTCAAGTATTTTCAGAGACAAAGATATTCTAAGTTCCATTTGTTCTCTCTCCCTCCCCCTCCCATCCCCTCTTCCTCCTAGTGATTTTTCTCTATCATCCAGATAGCACCCCAATGCCCCATTTTCTAATTTCTGCTATTATTTGTGCTTTGTTTCTCCCCTTCTTCCCTCATTTTCTCCCATTCGTATTCTCCCTTGCCTTTGATATTAGTAGGGCTTATTTTTTCATCAATAGCAATTGAGGGAATTCTTTTCCTTCTGCTTTTACAAAATGATCCTATATTCTGCAACCTTCGTTGTCTCTTGATTCTGCTCAGCTATATTTGACACAGATAACTTTTCTACACGTCAATTTTCTACATTTGTTGTTCCAGACAACTGAAGGTGCCTCTGGTTATGTGGGGGGAGGGCAATGCTAACAGGTCAAAGTATTATTTTATGGTTATCCTTATCCTTATCTTTACACAAACTCACTTTTCTTTTTTCGCTTAATTTTCAAAGTACAGTACAGAAATTGTCATCAATCTCACTGCTCCTATATCAGGTGTTAAAAGATTCTGGAAAAAAAGATAAGTTGCAGACCAAAAAAATAAGTAAAAAAGGGCCTTAGTAGAAACTAAAACTTCTAGACCATTTAGCATTAATGCATATAATATGCAGAAACTACATTTTTAGGCAATAAGGGTTTTTACCTAAAAGAAAGGTAATAAATATGCAATCAACTTAGAAAAGCTGAGGTTTTTCTTCCTTTCTCATTGTTTTCACTTTGCTATCATCACTATAATCTTAGGAAAGCATTTAATAAATATAAAACCTTTATTAAGTCAACTATTTCTACTGTGTAATACAAAAGGCTTTAAGAGTATGTATTCTTGTATGCCTCAAATTATATCTTCACTCTTATATCAAAATAAGGTAATAAACTCTGAAAAACATCCAAATTCTCTTTTTGTATGGAATTTGGATAAAAGAACCCACTGCTACTATCGCAGGGTACATTGATGAAACAGAGCTAAAAATGCACCCTAAGCCCAGGCTCTGAATCTTTTTGCATATTTTAATATTAGGTTTTCAGGTGGGATTTGGGCCTGCTTCCTCGTTTGGAAGTGTTTGAGGTAGGGTGAAATGAAGGCAGGCGAAGATGATTATGATTAATGAAAGGAAAACAAAATTTTAAACTAGGCAACTCAGTTCATTTCTGCCGTCTCCTAGTGCATACCATCAGGTTCTTTAATTATGGAAAAATAGCTGGTCTAGGATCAGAGCAAACATCTGATGCAGAAAATTCAGTGTAACCTATAGAACACAATTCCTTTCTGTCATACAAGAGGGTATGGAAATGATTTCTGTTACAAATTGTTTTTTGTATTTTTGTAATGAAATTTTACCAGTTAAGATAGTAATGGCTCACATTTATTAAGCATCTAGTATGTGTCAGGTAATTGTTAAGAACTTTATATGGATTGACACTTAATCATCCCAACAACCCTATGAGTTAAATATGATTATCATCACCCTGTTTAATAGATGGGAAGTGACCTTGAGTAATGAGTAATTTACCCAAGGTCGCTTAGGTTCTACAACAGGGATTCAAATGCCAAACACCAGTTAGTACTTTAATTTCCATGCTACATTATCTTCCCACCAATATAGAAAGATGACTATGCCACCCCCATTCAGGTAAAATCCCACCCTCTGTCAGATTTGTCTCTTTTGCAGTCCATTGAAAATACATTCTGAAAGTATTTGAATATCATCAGAAGACCCAGTACCTCTAAAGCATAGTTTTGACTTAAAATTTATAATATTTTCCCTATTAATATTATTTGTAATTTTTGCTATGTCTAAAAATAAGCATATTTTAAAAAACATCTGAAATATGGTAAAAAAAAAAAAATAAGACAGAAAAAACTTCATGTTTTTTAAAAGAACATAACCAGTTAGTTGCAGTTCCACTGAAAGTATCTGATAATAAAAACAAATTTTAATTTTTCATTTAACAACACTAAAGAATGAGGTATATAAATGTTTTAATCACAGACTTTTACTGTATGCAATTAACTATATTTCACAACTAGCATCTTACAAAAATGACAGTACCATTGTGCCTGTAAAAAGTACTGCAATAAAACAGAAAATTACATTATCACATGAAACCACCATATATCACAACTGTCAGGGTCTACAGTTTTATTTTTTTCTTAAAATGCTATCATGATGTCTTTATGTGATATTTTGTATCCAAGTTATGTTGTTAAGTTCATTGATATTGCAGAAGTCTCCTACAGGTGGCTATATATTAAGTAAATGGCTAAGAAAAAGCAGGAGACCTTAGGAGAATTTAAGAAGTACTGTGTGGTTTCTAGGTTTGATTTTTAAATATAACATAAAACACTTTATTAGTTGTAAACAAAAATGCAAAATCTGTAGTCATAAAAATATTTTATTCATAACTTTACATAATAGTAAGTGGAGCTGTAAATATTTATTTTGGGATATTGATAAATGCATAAACTGGCAGTTGTGTCTGAAAATAGGGCACTATGATTTTCATAAGAATTGTTACATTTAATAAGGGGCCAATTAAACTGATTTAAAACTAGTTTTTTTCCCAGTTCTGTGCAACAGTTGTCATTTCTGTATTTATTAGATTCATACTTCTATAACCCTGGATAAAGTTTGGGGCGAGGAAACAGTGATAGAACTATTAAGTTAAAGCTTTTCCAAAATTGCAGCTTTTAAAATATGGCAGGTTTCTTTTCTCTTCTGCTTTTGTCAAATGCTTATAATTATTTGAATTTTAATATTTTATATAATACAGAAAATACCAGTGTTCAATGACAATAGCACTAAACTTGAATTATAAAGCTAAATAATCAATGTTTTATTGTTTACTAGTCTGAGAGTAAACATTACAACAAATGAATGTTTTGAAAGCAAAAAAAAAAAAGGGAGGTAAAACCAGAAACATAATTCAGGAAAAAATAATTTAGCAAAATGTGTCAAAAATATTGGCAACGGTTCATACAAATTCTTTATTTAATAACAGTTTTTCTATTTAACCACACCAAGTACCAGCAGGTGTATTAAGAGGATAGCCATTAAGAAAATCCTGTTGCAGCAATAGTTGATTAAGTTGATCTTTGACTTGTATACATATAACTATTTGTTTCACAATTCTCAAATAATACATATTTAGGCAGGTTGCACTATGTTATAAAAATTTAACTTCGTTACATGCCAATAGTAGAGAATTCAAGAATTATGTGTTAGAATTCACTAAACTAAAAGTGAAAATAGACTTACCAATAACACTGCATAATGAATAATTCAACCACATTTTCATGGCACCTTTAATTGTGGAGACCAAAATGTTAAAGTCTGGAAATGTTTGGTAGGCATAGATTGCAATCAAATCTAACAAATTCTAACAAATTTCTCTTTTATGCAAAATGCAAATTATGAATTGTGCATGAATATGTTTGTCATGAAAATGTGGTACTTCTTGGCATAATCTGTATATTTGCATGATATGAATGAACTAAGAAGTTGGAGAAAATAAACTTTAATGGGATTCTCCATTCAATGATGAGGCTTCTCCTCTAGGTGAAGATGACCTGGACATTCCCCTCTCTGTGTTATCAGGACTAGAGCCACTCTGATTGTGCTGATCTGCAGAAGCAGCACTAGATGCAGGCGGTGACTTCGTTTTCTCCTTAAAGTCTGTAATAATGACTGTCAGATCTCCAACGGTAACTTCCAAATGCTGAGCACTACTCCGATCCACATTTTTCAATCTTGGCCTAAACACACAAAAAATGATATAATTTTAAACTAGCTTTTCTGGCTACTAACTTTCTGTGCACATAATGAACAAGTTAGGTAAGAACAACAAAATGAACATATCTATGTTTAAAGCTCTACATTCATGTGTATCTAGCCACAAAAATATCATTAAATGTTTCAAATCATTAACATTAATCAAACTACTCACTCATGAATCTTCTTCGTGACAAAAAACTGTGACACTGAAAGTAACAGGCTGGCTCTTAATTGTACTTTTATAGCTTTATCATAATTTTGCAGATAGGTTACAAATTTTTTTTAAAACAAATGTTGTAGAAGGGCAATGATATAGTTACATCACAGAGGAAGCCGGTAACAGCTAAGGTTACATTATATGCGGGGCTGTTACTCCTTTGATGTGCGTGGCTAAGGGCATCAAGATTGTCTATTCTGCCTGAACCCATGACCATTTTGACTGATTAAAGCCCATGCAAATATCTGTGAATACTGTGACTATTATTCCTGGCTTTATGAGTGAAAAAGAAATGACTCAAACACAAAGTCTTTTAATCTAGTGAAAAACACACACACACCCTCACATTTAAGCTTATATTTGTGGCCTCTGTGTTTAACTTCTAGTACAGTAGGTCCTCGGGTTACGTTGGCGATCCGTTCCCATGGCGCAAGGTAACGCGATTTTCGCCGTTAGTCGGAACCCACCTACATAAGCACCTAAGTCACTCACATGAGGCACATGCACAGCAGTAATGAAGTGAAACAGTAAAAAAAAATTCAAAAGAAAGATAACAATCCCTGACCTTTACTTGTGATAAATAAGTAATAAAAAACATAAAGCACATATGTACATATGTTGAAATGATGGAACTTTTCTTTTTTAATAAATAAATGGGAGATGGTGACATCATAACCACGAAACGACGTACGTCAAGTCCGACGTAACCCGAGGACTGTCTGTACACCTTTCAAACTACAAAAAACCCCCACCAAAACCAATTTCATGATACTTTACAATAAAGGAGATGAAATCTTTTACTTCTACTTTGTATATATTATATTAAAAGAGATAAAATGGTTAATTTTATTATTTCAAAAGTACCATAAAATATTTTAAAAATTTACCTGGTTTTCTTATGACTGTTCTTTTTGCTAGTTGTTTCCTTTTCACTCTTTTCTTTTTCTACTTTATCTTTTTTCTCTTTCTTTGACTGTGTAGGGGGCACAAACTGCTGAGTAACCTGCTGTGCAACCAACTGGGAGACAGGTCGAGGTTTCCTGTGTGTATGTTAAAAAGAAAGTTTTTAAAAATTATTATAACTTAAGAATACATACTCTTTATGAGAAAATAGCTCAAATTATGAGACTAGATATATATTATAAATTTCAAGTATAAAAATTCTTCATATGCAAAGTAATTCAGATGTGCAATTTAACAATTTAATAACATTGTTTTTCCAACCCAACAAAAGTTCTATATAATAAAAGCCGCTAAGTGTCCGATCATCCATTCAACCAATCAAAGCATGATATGCTAAGACCGCTCAACCGCTCACTATGATGTACACTGACCACCGGGGGCAGAGGCTCCGACTGGTATGTTAGTTTGCTGCTGGGGTCTGGACGATCGGGACTGAGCAAGATGGGCCAGACATGACCTGGAGCCCTCCCTGGCTGGCCAACCTCCTGCGTCCCTCCCTGGCCCTGATGGTGCACTGGTGAGGTCCCTTGGCCTGGCCTGTGCCCTCTCGCAATCCAGGACCCCTCGGGGGATGCCAGAGAGCCGGTTTCAGCCCGATCCTGCAGGCCAGGCCAAGGGACCGCACTGGTGCACAAATTTGTGCACCAGGCCTCTAGTAGAAATATAATAGCTAAAAGTTATAGCCCAAGATATATGGTCAAACCATTAGAATATAACATACATAAATCAATATGAAATTATTAAAAATATGTATCAAACTGAATGTTCATAGGGAAGCACACATAAAAATGCACACAAATTTTAAAAATTAAACTTGAAAGTTTACACTGAAATAACATTTAATTTTATCCTTCCTCCCTCCGAGAAGGAAATATCTAACCATCTGTGACTATGACTACTTGTTTTTTCCTTTAAAATCTTTCATTTATTCACTTAATAAATATTTGAGTGTTGAAATTTCTCAGTCATTATTGCTCAATTCCTTGAGGTGCCTTATGTATTCTAGCCACAAGCTCACCATGCTTTTTTGACCTTGAAGATCTGCCCAATCTTTTGACACATGCCTCCTCACTCACTTATTCATTAAAAAACGTTTACTGAGAAACTACTGTAGGAACTGCAGAGAGATATCTGAAATGTTGTCTGGCTTTAATCTTTGGTGCCAGTACAAGCTATCACTCTATAGGCCTAGATCAAGGATCCCTCCAGCTTTATGGTAGGACTTGGGCAACTAAAGTCAAGATTCAAAGTTAAGTAATCTCTAAGTTCTTAAAATGAAAGAGAAAAAGAAGACTGAGAAAGGGAAAAGGGAAGGAAGGAAAAAGTTAGGGAGCATAAGATAAAAATACATTTCAACAGATGGGTCTATAAACAATAGTTAATTTATTGTCTGGAAAATCCTGACCCTATTTTGGTCAGTAGAGTTACAAAAAAAAACAACACTTTTTTTTTTCTTTTGGTTTCTCTAGACAAGCAAGACAAAATAGAAACTAATGAGAAAATACTGCATAATCTACAATCAAAGCTGCACAGAGGAATCCTTTGAAGGAGGAAACAGGAAACAGCATGCAAAACAGATTTCAGCAGATGGGAAATTAATTTTGTTTAGAGCCTAAAGAGTCTCAAGTACAGAAAGAATATCCAGGAAAGATGTCCAATACACAAGTAGGGTTGACATATAAATCACGGTTAGTGATGTAGATTAAGAGTTACACAAATTAAAGTGCCACTGAAAACATGGCAAGTGATGGCTGAGCTTATGAAGAAATGAATTTTTTAGGAGAGAACCAAGATGGCGGCATAGGTTAACGCCGGAGTTTGCTGCTTTGAACAACTACTTCAAAAGTGAAACCAAAAAACGGAAGGGACATCACCCAGAACCACAGGACCGCTGGCTGAGTGGAAGTCCTACAACTAGGAGGAAAGAGAAACGCATACGGACACTCAGAGGAGGCGCAGTGCTGAAGTCAAATTCTGAGGTGCGGAGTGCGCGAGCGGGCTGGCGGCGGAGGGCGCGGTTGGCGTTTTCAATCGGGAGGGAGTTGCAGACTCTGAGCTCCAGATCCGGGCGAGTCTTTAGGGACCCAGACTCAAACGGGAGAAGCGGGACTGTCTGGCTTCGGTCAGAGCGAGTGCAGCTTTCTCTCCGAGCTTTGCAGTGGGTGCTGGGACTCAGAGAGGCAGAGCCCCTGGGGACAGGACTGAGAGCCGCCATAACTGCTCTCTCCGGCCCACCCTGTTGATCCTGTGCGACCCGCCCCGCCCAAGCCCTGCACTGAGGCATTTGCCGGATAGCCTCAGGCAAAGGCTAGATTAGCACCTCCCTAAAGGACAGAAGTTCTCTCACTGCTGACACAGCTGATTCTCATAGCCACTTGGCCTGGAGGTCAAACCCTCCCTGGTATTAGCTACAACAATCAAGGTTTAATTATAAGACTGCAAACAAAGACCACTAGGGGGTGCACCAAGGAAGCATAAAAAATGCGGAGACAAAGAAAACAGGACAAAATTGTCAATGGAAGATATAGAGTTCAGAACCACACTTTTAAGGTCTCTGAAGAACTGTTTAGAAGACGCCGATAAACTTAATGAGATCTACAAGAAAACTAATGAGACCCTCGATGTTATATTGGGGAACCAACTAGAAATTAAGCATACACGGACTGAAATAACGAATATTATACAGACTCCCGACAGCAGACCAGAGGAGCGCAAGAATCAAGGCAAAGATTTGAAATGCGAAGAAGCAAAAAACACCCAACCGGAAAAGCAAAATGAAAAAAGAATCCAAAAATGCGAGGATAGTGTAAGGAGCCTCTGGGACAGCTTCAAGCGTACCAACATCAGAATTATAGGGGTGCCAGAAGATGAGAGAGAGCAAGATATTGAAAACCTATTTGAAGAAATAATGACAGAAAACTTCCCCCACCTGGTGAAAGAAATGGACTTACAGGTCCAAGAAGTGCGGAGAACCCCAAACAAAAGGAATCCAAAGAGGACCACACCAAGACACATCATAATTAAAATGCCAAGAGCAAAAGATAAAGAGAGAATCTTAAAAGCAGCAAGAGAAAGAAACTCAGTTACCTACAAGGGAATACCCATACGACTGTCAGCTGATTTCTCAACAGAAACTTTGCAGGCCAGAAGGGAGTGGCAAGAAATATTCAAAGTGATGAATACCAAGAACCTACAACCAAGATTACTTTATCCAGCAAAGCTATCATTCGGAATTGAAGGTCAGATAAAGAGCTTCACAGATAAGGAAAAGCTAAAGGAGTTCATCACCACCAAACCAGGATTATATGAAATGCTGAAAGGTATCCTTTAAGAAGAGGAAGAGGAAGAAAAAGGTAAAGATACAAATTATGAACAACAAACATGCATCTATCAACAAGTGAATCTAAGAATCAAGTGAATAAATAATCTGATGAACAGAATGAACTGTTGATTATAATAGAATCAGGGACATAGAAAGGGAATGGACTGACTATTCTTGGGGGGGAAAGGGGTGTGGGAGATGCGGGAAGAGACTGGACAAAAATCGTGCACCTATGGATGAGGACAGTGGGTGGGGAGTGAGGGCGGAGGGTGGGGCGGGAACTGGGAGGAGGGGAGTTATGGGGGGGGGAAAAGAGGAACAAATGTAATAATCTGAACAATAAAGATTTAATTTAAAAAAATTTAAAAAAAAAATAAAAAAAAAAGAAACTCTAAAAAAAAAAAGAATACTTGGATTTTCCCTACATTTGCAGCCCTCTCTCCAATGCATATGTATAATTTTTATCCTAAATCTTTTAGAATCTAGTTAACACGTTCCATTTAATAAAACAAACTAGAATATGAGAAAGAAAAAAAAAAAGAAATGAATTTTTTAAAAAAAGGGGTTAAAGGAATGGTTCTCAAATTTACATACAACGGGATCACCTGGAAGACTTAACCCCACTCCCAGGGTTTCTGATTTCAATAGGCCCGAAGTAGTGCAATAATTTGCATTTCTAACTAGTTTCCAAGCCAAGCTATGCCTCTGGTCTGGCCACCACACTTTGTGAAAAAGCTTGAAGAAATGTAATATATTAGTACTACTGGAGCATAAAGTTTGAGATGAAAATCAGGGAGTGGCAGAGAAATAAAAAGAGCAAGGCTGGATGGCCAGGCAGGAACCCAATAATGAAAACCGAGGAAGTTTGATTTACCCTTAATAGATGGAAGAGCATTGAAGAAATTCAGATTTGAATTTTACAAAGATTACTGGCAGCAATCTTAAGAGGAAAGGTACAAAAGAGGCAGGGAAACTGTTAAGAAGCTACTTTAATGGATCGAGCAAAATTAAAAGGGGCTTGAACTAAGGAAGCAGCAGTGGAGTTATTTAAGACAGACTAAAGAAGCATGATCAAGGAGACACGATGACTAGCCAGATGTGATTTTCTCACTTCTCAACCAACAAACATTCCTTTAGCAAAACATAGAGAAACCCTTGCCCTCCTGTAGCCAAGTTTCTGTGGGTGGCATAAAAAAAGAAAAAACAGTCTCTGATGCTAATAAATGCTATATAAATAAATAAAGTAAGGATCATAGGGAGTATTGGGGAAGGAGATGCAGTTTTAATTTTGTCTTGTTTCTACTTCGAAAATAAACTCCACAAGTAAAGAGTGCATACCACTGTTTAACTAATACCCGGCACAATACTGAAAAAATACTAGATACTTAATATTTGTGCCCGGCCGATGTGGCCCATGGTTGACCATCAACTCATGAACCAAGAGGGCTCAGTTCGATTCTTGGTCAGGGCACATACCTGAGTTGTGGGCTCGACCCCCAGTAGGGGGCGTGCAGGAGGCAGCTGATTGATGTTTCTTATTATGTTTCTATCTCTCTATCCCTCTCCCTTTCTCTCTCTCTAAAAAACTCAATAAAAGCATATAAAAATATTTTCTGAAGAATGAGTGAATAATAAAATCAGGTTTAATGAGGGAGAAAGATTAATTTTTTTAAGAAAAGGAGTACAGTAATGTCTAAGCTTAGTCATTGTTCAGGGTCACTACACAGAAGTAAACAAATAATGAAAAAGAGCAGC